TGTGAGGGGGCATGGAATTTATTTTCGGTGGCCACGCCCACTGAAAAATATTGCTTCTTAGATTCCCGAATACACGTTAACCGTGACAGCAGAAGCATAAGCCTAGCCTAATTTTTTTTGCTTCGAAGTTTTCGAATGGGGGGTGCCTACGCCCCCCTTGGATACGCCACTGTTTACCATACAATGCCGAAGCTTGGTATGTTGGGCTTCTAACAGCTACGTTCATTAATAAATGCAGGACTACCTTACCTTAATGGGGATGATGTAATTGGATGAAGCTTGTGGTAATATGCAAATGGCAATAAACAATAAATTTAATCTGATGATAAATAATGATTTCAAATGATAGAAATCTATACATTACATTAAAATGTTTGTGATTATTTATTTTAAACTTCCCTCTAGGCACTCTGTTGATCTGTTCCTTGACTTCATTAACATCTTTCGTCACCTCCTTGTTATTCTCGCTGACAAAAACGTAAGTGCAACAATTTTTTCCCTGTTTTAATACAGATATTGTATGTATGCATGCATAGACTGGAAATTTTTAATTACAAAGAAAATTAAATTACCCTTTATTATCTATTGTTTTCATTTGTCCTTAGTTGGCTTTATATCATTTTTGTATATCACGTTGTTTTCAAATATTTTAATTTATTATGATCTTTAATCAACACCAGTGGAGGTGTATCTAATACCCATGTTATTTCATGTGTTGGTAGAGTATCCGAACTGTAATCGGGAAGTCTAGAGTTTGATTCCTGATGAGTAAATATGTTTTTTCTCAAATATTTATCTTGTGTAAAGCACATAGTGACAATGTGTAATATGCACTACATAAATATAACATTATCATTGATAATGATATATCAAAAATTATTATTACATTATTCTTTTTATTCTGCAGGATAAACGCAAGAAGTAGACTACATAAGAATGATGGAAGATATTGTCATGTCATATGCAATGCTTGTGTTAATATTTGTGGATTTTGTCTGGGTTTTTGCACATCTATTTTACTTTTTTGAAATTTTGAATTATCTTTAGCTTTATAATAGAAAAAGGAAATTATCAACATTAGTGAACCAGTTTGAAACAACATATTAAGAATTTTAATGGTTTGTGGTAAAATATTTTAGATTTAAAGCAAGTGGTATCAGATATAACATAATGTACAATTAGCATTTACAATGTATTATATGGCTATCTTAGTTGACAATTCATACTGATATTTATATGGACAAACTGTATTACCATACATAAGAAAGACATTTAGCCTGTTGCATATTAAATATATATATATTGCTGCAAGATTTGTAGGATTGCAAGTATGAACCCAGATTCTGAATTGATGTTTATTAGGCTGGGCACCCTCTGTGCATGCAACAGATCACAGGGAGCGGAGAAGGATTTTCGCTACGACGCAGCGAGTGCCAAGCATTAGTTAAGATCTATCCAGATTATCAGATTTTCTTTGACAAAAAAACTCTTGAATGCCCATATGTAATGCCATCATGACCCTATTTAGGCTTTATAGAAAATGCCATTTTGAATTTACTTACATGTAAATTGGTAGATTTTGTTCGCTAACTGTGACAAGATTTTTGTCAATGAGAAGTGTGATTGTTATATGTTAGTTATTTCTAAAAAAAACAAAGCAAGTCATTTCACAATGATTTATTTAATATTCAAGTTGTTTATTATTAATAATAGATAGTGAATACAATTAATTATTCATGAATCAACACAATTTTGCTCAAAATAATTTAATTCAGCAACAACATAGGCCTACTTTCTACTATTCATAATTTGTCAAGTCAATAAAATATATTAAATATATTAAATTGTTAAAACAATTTCTCATCAGATATTGCAGTTCATTTATCACAGTCCAATACTTTGTAGGACATCTTTGGTCGAAAAGGTTTATGAATAAATTAATAAATAGTAGTAGAAAAATGTCTTATTTTATGTTTTGGGGTTGATCAAAATCTTACGGTAAAATTGTCTACGTTGCCATACTTATTTCAGATTCAGTTAACCCATATCAAACATAAAATTGTGTACAAGGAAAAAAAAACTTGGCGAAGCCCTGTCCCTTGGATATCCATTCCAAGACAAAGTGCAACAATAATATTATTTTGATGTGTGTATGCATCAGCAAAATATAGGAGTTTTGCCCTACCTGACGTGATATACTCAATACTTGCAAAAAACTCGCTAGTGATTCGGGTGGACAATCGAACCCACATCCTACAGATAACTAGCCTGGTGTCATAACCACTAGCTGCCAAACTGAGTATACAGTATAACATGTTGGGTACGGCAAAACATCACTCCTGTGACATTTTCCTGACACAAGCACACATTTAAATAGAATTGCAGTAACTGCTGCTACTTGGGGATTGTATTCTACACTAGTCACTAACCGCAAGTTTTTTGTAACAAGTATTTAAGAACGTACTCAGTATTCAGTACGATAACCCATCAAGTAGGGCAAAATAGCACTCCTATAATAATAATATTCTGTGCCACATCCTACCAGATACCCATTTATACTCCTGGGTAGAGAGACAGGTAAATTTCCTTGCCCAAGGACAAAAGTAAAATGCATGGATTTGAGTACTGACCAAACCGCAAGTGCTGTGCCAACCACACTGCCACATGTATGTGATATGAAATTACCATCTTGTCGCACAAAATTTAAAATAATCCAAATTTGTACTTATATATACAAGTACTGTACACATAAAACAGATAAAATGCATTCTGTTTGAATAAACTTCAGTAAAACAAATGCTTGTGGAATGTTGTTTCTAATATTTTATATCATAAATTTACTTACATATAATTTAATTATTTTAAATAATTAAAATACTTTCTTTTTTTGGATTTTTGTTTTTCAAATGGTTGAAAAGATATATAATGCTGCAAAAACTGCATAAAACTAATATTGTAAAATGATAAGTCACATTTATGATTGAAAGGCTAACATCACGACCACTAAACTGTTTCATTATTTTAATTGCTTTGTCTATCATAATATCAAGTCTGCATCAACAGGTATTCTGCTTCTTGTGCTGAGGAGGACACTGGTTCAACCTGGTCAGTGTTGAGTTTCAACAGGTGTTGTTCCTGCTTCTTGTGCTGAGGAGGACACTGGTTCAACCTGGTCAGTGTTGACTTTCAACATGTATTGTTCCTGCTCCTTGTGCTGAGGACACCGGTTCAACCTGGTCAGTGTTGGGTTTCAACAGGTATTGTTCCTGCTTCTTGTGCTGAAGACACAAGTTGAACCCGGTCAGTGTTAGGTTTAATAGGAGTCTGATAGTTCCGCTTCTCAAATAATCCTTCATATGAGAGTTGGAATATGGGTCAATATTTTCCTTGCTTATTCCTACAAAGCAAGTGTTTAGGTGGATAATTATACGAAAAAAAAATCTTTTTAGATAACAATGTTACAACAAATGGCTACAAAGATAAATTCTTAAAATCACTAATAAAATATTCTTAAAATGCGGGGCAGTGAGAAAATAATCGTGCTAATTGTGTACGTGGCAGCAGTTTAACTCTTCATCTTTTAATTTTAACCTAAATTTTCTTTTAACCTTGCATATGCATATTAATTATTTAAATTTTTTATTTTCTCAAGTTTCTTTCAATGTTCCTTTTAAATCTTTTAAGTTGTAGTTAAGTTATCCACCTTTTTTGGTTACCATATGTATATATCTGCTTTTAAAATGTTGTAGTTAAGAACTGAACCACTTTGGAAACCAGTACTATGTATTGAAAGTGTATATTCAGTATAAAGAAAGAATAAATAAATAAAATAAATCTTCATTGTTGAGCATGGCACGAATAAACACTGATCCATGACACCATGGGATGCAAAGGTAGACTATGTTTAACATTTTCAGTATTCCAACTGCTTCGTCTACCATTCCATCAAATCTACACATCTTTGGCATGAACAAGGGCTCTACAAATAGCTATAAATATTAATTAAAAAGTCATTTACAAGTAATTCTTAAATAGTGTTATCCACCTTAAATTTACACAACAGGATTCTTGCTGTCTATTTGTAAGCAATTCATCTGTATTTCTTGTCCATTTATATAAATTTAATTTAGATTTGCAGAAACAACATTGGACTGAATCTTGGCTAAATGGTGTAGTTTCATCTTCATGTGGTTACACACTTCAATGTACAACGGTCAATGTGTCTATCTCTGCTCTAGTGAGTGCTTGACAACGCCAGGACGTCTGCTGACTGTTGGTATCAATCTGAGCGGTTCTTCATTAAAATCGATCCACTCCCGGCAATTTGTTGCTTTTGTGTTTTCTATGGAAATGTCTTATATGATGCAGTGGGTGTCTGGCTTTAGTGCTTACATCCAATCCACAGTAACCAGAGCCATTGAATCCTTCTATTGGTGATAACCCTGGGATAAAAAATTGTTTTTTTTGGGATCTGTATAATTTTCTTATTCACTCATATTAATATGCATTGACTGAGGAACTGAATTGATTGGAAATATTCCGTTAAGTATTCTTGCGACATCTCCTCGATCCTTGGATAAACGGTCAGCAATCGGCTTCTTTTGCAATATTTCCCTCAGACGGTCAGTTGTGGCATCCATCCCCTTTTCCATGGCCTTTTAGAATCAAACTGCTGGTTGTAGAGCGGTTGTTATAGGCAATAATTTATGGTTTTTGAATGGGCCAACACTGTTTTTAGACTACAGTCATAGGGATTGGCAATCACATTATATAGATACGTAAATTAATATTTGATTTGAAGAACTCATCGTGGTGTCAGACAACGGTCCTGGTCTGTCTGATGAGGTGGGGGAGGGAAATTGCACTCACTAACCCAAATCCACCCTGGTGATGCCAATGGAGAGAGGCCAAAGGTACCTATTCACCATAGTGTTGTCCAATGGCGCATTTATTACTGATGATGACATAATAAATAACGAAATATTGAATCCCGACACAATCATATAGTTATTGTTTCTGCCTATGATAATACGGTAAACACATTCTTTAAATGGTCCACATATCCACACCTTACTTCAAATCGTAACTAAAATTTAAACACTTCTTCAATAAAACATGACAAACTATTCTGGAAAGTGTAATTTTGATCCATTGATCGATTTTAGAGATGTTTAGGTCTGGCACCTAATGGCCCTCAAATGCACATCCGAATTTGGATCATCACCAACACTTCATAATTTATTCCTTGTTTAAATTTCATTGAGATAAGTTGACACATTTTTGAAATATCTGGTGTAGAATGTTTGTTCTTAAATCCCTTGAATTAGTCCTCACATCCACACCCTACTCTGGACCATCACCAAAATTCAATCATTTCTTCATTGGGTCATACCAAAACTATCTGCTATCTTTATTTTTATCTGTGCAGTCATTTTTGAGATAATTCGAAAACAAAAAAAACACACAAAACACGAAAATGTGACACACATATACGCAAACTTACACGACTGAAGACATATATCTACTGACGGAGATAATAATAACAACAACTAAACTTGCCAACACTGCACACAGGCTCAAGTCCCCTGAAGTTTTTTTTAAAAATTAACCAACAAGTTATTATTCATTTTTGTCTATCTCTGCTTACCTCTAGATAAGAATTCCTCTGGTCTCTCAGGGTCGTTCTTAACAAGCCCATTCCTTCGGTTTTTTTGTCGTAAGGCTGCCTTGCATCTACAACAATGACCTCGTCCAAAATGTTCAGCCATTTACTAAATTTTTCCTTGAGGTGTTTCACCAGGAATTCTCCTTGTTTCACAGCACCTATGGATTTAATAAATGTTAATACATGTATGCATATCAGGGAAAGACATGTTGCACAGTGGTTTTCTCAAAACAGTTCTATTAAAGGTTTGAAAGTTTGCAACAATGGAGATTTTTGCCTTTTGACATTACATTTTGTCTCCCTTTACCCAATTCAATTACTAAAACTAAAATCACAGCATACATGATACAGTAGGGTGATTTGCCTGCTTTACAAATAGTATGCAAAATAAAATGAGTAAATTTAGTAAGACTATATTCAAACAAATTATTTAACAAATTTGAAGCAATTTAGAAAAATAGGATTAAAACAAATATAATACACAATAATAATATAAAAAAATAAACTATGAATAACAAATTGTGGCAGGTGGCTACACTCAGGCTATAAATTTACAGACAAAATAATTACATCGTGCTAATAAAAGATGTAAACATGCCTAACTCTTCATTCTTCAATTAGTTGTGGATGCAGCAAGAATTTAGTCTGCTGTTATATAGCTCTGTACTGAAATTACTGTTGCAGAAGCTGGGAATATTACAAAAGGCTTCTACAAATTGATGTCTTGTTGTGGAACATGATTATGTGTTCCGTCTGATTATAGAAATCAATGAGGAAAATAGCAATGAATTTTAGACATTGTGCATAATTTTCTGTACAAAGGAGGGGGTAAAGGGGGTAAATGGCTTCTCTCTCTGGGAGGGTGCCACCTCCTACAAGTCAAAGAGAGCACAAAAAATACCAACAATTTCTCAGGATTTGTATCTTGGCATGGTTTGAGATGAAAGTAGACAGCAAAAATATGTTCCACTCACGTTGTCTGTCAACTTCATCGCTGTGTGTTCCAACAAGAATGATAGTTGGCTTCTTCTGAGATGGTTTAGTTTCATCAGTAGATGCCTTCAGAAACCTTAACCACTCCATAATCTTAAAAATTGTTTGAATAAATGAAAAAAGAACATGGGTTAAGTTGAAATTAACTCACTCATTGGTGGCGCTGTCCAGAATGATACACAAATAAGGGACTTGTGGCAAATCTATCCGCTGCCTCATTTTCATCCTTTTTTAATCTTTTTCCTCCAATCAGACTGAATTGTATAACAATAGCTTATATCCAATCCAATCAGGTCATTTATACAGCGCCTTTCTTTGTAGATATGAAGCGCTGCACCCCACATACTTAGGCACCTCACAACCCACAGACAGTCATCATTGCCTAACCCAAGCACAGAACAAGTAAACAAATCAAAAGAAGTAGTGGAAAAGTTCAGAATCATAACTAAAATAAAGCAACAATAAATGAAATAAAAATGAAGGTAATTAATTAAAGAGGTGAGTCTTTACATGACAGTTTTCTAATATGAAGTTTGTTCATGATCCAAGTAATGTATGATGTAACAAAACCCACTGTTTTCAAGTATATCCTTATTCTATATATCTGTTACAAATTAGTTTTTTTTTTAAATATCCGTATCTTAAATTCTATGTTCTTTCTCTATTAAAAATTTGAAATCAGCCTCTTCCAGTCACCGGCAACTTTTCTTCATTGTAAATATTTCATTGTTGTTACTTTATGTTTGGTCAGTGTGAAGTTAATAAAATAATTAAATAAAATACTCACCTTTGTAATAATAAATGTACTCTGCTGCCGTTCCTCTGTAATGTTCTTGTATACAAGAATCGTGATAGCATTGTGGGCATCCATAAACAGGGGATGCGTCAGATAAAACTCTGGTTGACCGGCGAAATCCCAAACACTGAATATGCCGGCAACAGGAAAGTCACACATCTTTATATCAATCCCAGGTGTTGGGTCGTGAACACCTCCATCGTTGTGAGTCCGAAACAACAAAGCATCCTGGTGGAATGGAAAAAAGTTGATAATTACAGCAGCAATATTCCTGAGGCAAGGAGATTGTAGTTCGGCCGTTAAGGTATTGGCTTTCTAATTTCAGGGTCATATGTTCAATCCTTTTAATGAACTTGAATTGACTATTTTTTTTAAATTGTATATATTTATGATTGAAAAAAACCCAAAAAATTAAGATTACAAAGACTAACTGCAAAGAGATACAATGATCTCCAGCAATAATTTTGTATTAATCTCTGTCAGTACTATCATATTTTCAGATTCAAATATATTTATTCAGATATAATATTTAAATTGTTGCAGCAAATGGTACAAGAAGATATGCTTATAAATGTTTAACTATAGTCATTATGTTTCACTGATACCGATTATAGTTAATTTGCTATTAATTGAGTTTAAAAGACATTCAAGATTGTCAACTTTGTGCATAAAGCTTCTAATATTAAGATGCAGGAGAGACAGTTTAGTACATAAGGATGTATTTTAAATTTTAAACAAATTGTGATAAATCATAATAACTACATAAATATAAACTAACCGAAAGTGAAATGACTAATTAGTTGGTCAAAAGACTCATATTTGTAATTTTCAATGTAATTTACTGGATTAAAAGTAATGTTATAAATATTATTGCTATTAGTACGATCAGAATCCACATTAAAGTTATAAAAAGGAAGTAAATGTAAATAATTGTTTTTCATTAACAATAATAGTTGTGTAAAAAGTTATCTAAACAATAATAAGTATGCATGAGATAATGTACACATTAAATGCATATTTATTAAGAAGAAGCAAAGAAATGTTGAGACTAAGGTTACGTTAGGCAATATTTCAGTAGTTAGTAATGTCAAATCGAATCTGGTAGTAGCTTCTAGAACCCTGGTTCTTAATTAATTAATTAAAGACACTTTATCTGCATTGCTTCTCTTCACCCAGGAGTATAAATGGGAACCTGGTGGGGTCACTTGCTCCTGCACTGATTGCCAGCAGCAACACTTAGCATGTGGACCCAATGACCAGGGAAAAGAACTGTGCTTTATAACCTCAATAAAGAGGCGCATTATAAATGACCATACCAATACCAATACCAATGGGCATCTACCTCCACAACTGGCACCACCACTTAATTTCAATTAATTTGTTGGGAACTGACGGTTTTAAGTAGCATAAGTGGTAAAGCATATTTTCATCTATTAGGTCATTTACAGGCATGTATGTATGCAGAAGTCTTTTAGGGCCCCCGACTGGGTCCAGAGGCTGACAAGCTCCGACAAAGCAGTACAGTATTTTGAGACCGTATTTAACGAATTTCTGTAACCCATAATTCTAGATTCAGGTTCTTTTATTCAAATCAAAATCACAGCTAAGGCTGAATTATATGATATTTACAAAAATGTAGGCTAATATTAAAACATCAAAACATCGACCAAACACAAGACATGAGAAATGGAGATAAAAGTAACGTTAAAATGCATTAAAATTTGAAGCATCAGGAGTACACAACAGGTTTAAAAAACATACGCAAGGTTTGACACTATCGATTGCGACCCAAGTTAGAGTTGCCAAAATATTTTGCAGGGTCGGCGTTTAATGTTGTCAGACACTGATAGCCTAATAGAACTTGTAATGTCTTCTTTTCTTTGTGCAAGTGTAACTGTGTGCGAAGTAGCGTTTCCTGAATTGGGCATTTTTTCCACAAAGTAAAACTAGATAATTTTTTCCTATCATATTGACCTTGATTCTTATGTTTGCTTCTCATCGTTTATGCCTAATCAAATACTGTTACCTGCTTGGGTGTCCATAAAACAACTCCTTGGTAGGACTAATCCTGTAGGAGAATTTTCAAACCAAACATGAAGTTACAGGCATAATCATAACAAAAACAGTCATACAAAGTTTGTTCAACTTCATTAGTTTGGCACACAATAGGTACTTCACCCATCCTATATCCACCAAATACTAGGGATTTAAAAGTGTAAAAACTCTTCGTCAGTAAAATCTTGGGTCTGCTCATAATAAAAAGAAGTCTATGGTAAAGTTTTTATTATTAATCTACAGTATGTCATATTTAGCTGAACTAAGACTACCAATGTTTTGGCGTTTGTCCACTGGTTGGTAACAGATTAAATTATAGATATGTATGTGGCCACCTCTACTTTACATTGGCCCAGTGTTGTGTTTTGGCCTTCACTTTGTTAAAAAAATATTCGTTTCATCGAATGGTTATTACTTTTAATTTCTTTAAATATTTTTTGTATAATTTATATTTTTTCTTGAGGGCCAGAATAATTTGCCAAATTTGGCCCACAGGGCACTTATTAAGAACCAGGGTTCTAGAACATGCGCTTCTTTCAAGTTTGAGTAGTATTTTTTAAGATGCTCCATGTCGATCTACGTGCGAATATACCCTTCTGCATCTATGAAACATAGCTTGTCAAGATGGAGGCAGGCTTTCACTTTGTTGGAATGCAAGTATTTCACATGCTAGTGATTTCCAAATTAAGAATAGAACTGTATTTTCCAGTGAAAAAAACTTCGTAACTGCATCACACAACGTTGATTTAATGTTGATGGTTTTGCAGGCCATCATAAACTTCATAAGTGAAGGCAACCAGGTAGTCGACTCAAAAGCGCCAGCATTTAAATTGGAAGTATTTGGTTCGTTAATGGCTCGTTGTTTACCACGTTGGTCATTGCCAATATAATTATAAAAAATAAATAATAAAAGTATAACCAATAGTGTGGTTAACGCCACCGATGAATCCACTATCCAGGTAAGGATACAGGTCTCATGCAGCTAATAGCCTATCCTTGGAAAATGCTGTTACAGGTAGGCCAGTATTGCATCAAAAACACACAAGTTGCTGAGCTCTGCTCAAACACGTCTGCACACGACAATGTTCTGGCTGTTTATGTGACAAATACCTTTGAATTGTTGTTACGGCTGTGATATGACATCATCATACCCTATATGGGCAATAGTGAATGATGTCACAAAACACAACATTTTAATAATAAAAAATGATTTTGTAATAGGTGATTGTGACTAATTTCTAATTTATTAAGCTTACTTTACTTTCAAGTGACTTTATCAAGGTAGTTTTGCCAACATTTTCAGATCCGCACACAAACAGTTTCACCTGATTAAACTTTTTATTCTTATCTACAATCAAGGCAGACATATCAATTTCCTGAAAGAAAAAAAAATACAACCTTGGATAATAAATGTCCCATACTAATTACAATTAATAAATGAATAAACAACCGGATGATGGATGAAAGAATGAATAAATAAACATATTATGTACATAAATAATAAATACACAATGTGCCAATTTGGAAAACAAAAACATTGGAAAACATCAATAAACATTTTTTTAAACCTAGATGCCCAGAATGAATATGAAATAATTATGGTAATTATGGTGATGATGATTATGAGAGGATGAAGATGACAATGATGGTAATGATACTGATGACAAGTACGATGAGGGCAATGATGATGACGGATGATGGCAATGTTGTTGACATAGGCAGTGGCATGATTTGAATGATGGAAATACGGTAATAATGCAAACCAAGTCTAGTCTTATACTGTAATAGTAATTCCTGAGAGCAAAGCGATCAATGAGGTCTTTAAGAATATAGGGCCTACGGTATGTTCTGGAAGACCAATTTCAAAGATTTTTTATTCGAGCAGAACGAGCAATTACGAGTGATTACCAGGGAACAGAGGATGGCAAAGTGCCTGATTGAGGTTTCAGGACTAAAAAGCTCCGGGAGGAAATTTGATGGTTCTGAATAAATGTTAAATATTCGTACTGTAATGTATGAATGGAAAGTTTGGAATTGGTTATTTAATAAATCATATTTGCTTTGTGAGCAACTACTGTGAAATGAAATCGGCAGCTTCCGCCTCCTCCCTGACATACAAAACCCCTCTCCGACATCTGATGCCATGACGAGATCAGCGAACTATAAATATCAATTCTGTCATCTAACCATAGTTATCGTGATGCCAATATTGTGGTTAAAATTACTGTTTTGGGCCATTCTAAACTATAAATCTCTTCCCATGAACCCCCACACCAGAGAATTCTGTTCCAGATCCCTAAACCATGGGGGCCCTGGTTCCCCTGGGGTGGGGAATCCTCCTCATTGGCCTGACCAAAAACAAACTGCTTCCTACGGAAGGATACTAAGTTTAGCAATTACTTAACAATATTATCAACCAATATTACAAACCTCTATTAACTGCTTGAGGTATTTGATAACTTCCTTATTGCCATATTGCCGGGCTACATTCAGCAAAGTCTCCCCTTTTGCCTATGACATACAATAGAAATCTTATAGCATATAATATAATACACTAGTTTACATTTGTCGTACATTATATATTCCATAGAATAGAATATATTTCATGGTGGCAATTATATATTCAATGGTGTAATGCATATTCATGGTAACCATTACATGCTATGGTGAACATTATAATTCATGATGAACAATATACATTCAATTCTGTTTTAAACATTATATATAATATAAAAAAAATTATATATTTTATGGTCAATATTATGGCAATGATATATATATGTTTCATGGTGAACGTTATAAATTTTTACAATGAAAATTATATAAACTATGGTGAAGAATATTTTTCATAGTGAACATTCATGATAAACATATACATTCCATTTGTGGACAAGACCTTGTTAGATTCTTAAAACCACCAGTTATCTTTCTTTTTGCATATCTAATTTAATGTAAAGTAGATAGATGCATTTGCTTTGACAGTAATACCAAATTATTATCAGTATTATTCAATGTTTTCTTTTTATTACTCCTTGGTGAGAACTGTATATTTGACACGATATGCACGGGCCTGATCAAAATCTTTGGCGGGCCGGAGTTGGCCCGAGGGTCGGGGTTGAATAACGGGCTCTATACTTATGATGAACTACATGCTAGTTTCAAATATCACAAGTATATTCATATATGCCATGCATATCACATACGAAATTTATCAGGATTTCAATTGATAGCATATTGCACACTGAGCATCATGCATGTGAATCATATAAGGTAAATTGTATATTTTATTCCTGATGATGACATAATTAATGTCGAAATATTGAATCCCAACACTATGGCGTGCATTTCTATACTTGGAATATGTATTATACTTTCTTGTATATTTATATACTGCATACATAAATTCTAGGCATCAGATTGGTTAAAAAGCAGGTAATAATTTCAACCATCACTCCTATGATGTAGGTTTGAATGATGGTTCATAATATAAAATTATTTTTTTCGTACATTTTCTTTTGTGAGGATCTTCTCTCTGTCCTCTGGATCTATGCATTTATCGAAGAGGTAGCATAACATTTCTTTGGTACTTTCTCCTTTTAGTGTACGCAAGACACCAAACAGAGCATGCTCTTTATCCTGAAAGAAATATTGATGCAAACCTTGTAGTAACCAGTCATAGCAATTGGATTAGAAAATACTGAAGTCTGGCTATGGAGGAAAACAAATTTTTAACATTTTCTAAGACACAAAAAGGGAACGGTAAATGAGATACAGATTTTTGAATATTTAAAAATGGGGAAAAAAGGGGCGTACCCCACTCTTTTTTCCACTTTCCAGTTTTTAAATACTTTATTCAAAAATCTGTGTCTCTAGATGTTCCCGAGTTTTTTGTCAAACACCCTTTTTATGTCTTGGAAAAATCTGTTGTACAACATATCAACAATTTTTTCCCTCTGGAGCCTTTGCTTTCTGACAATAAATTCCAGGTTAAGTGGGGATCAATAATTACGTGAGGGGCTTTACATTAACCTGGGAAAAGTAAGGTGAAATTACTTAATTTTAACTACTTTAGCATAATTTCATTTTTGCTAAGAAAACTTATAGAAGGGGGAATATGCCACTGACATAAATTCTATACCATTGTTACTATCTAACATATTCTATAGCACTAACACTATAATACCATATCTTAAAAGAGAAGTATTTGTACACCAAACTACAGTTACTACAGTTAATTATAATAGCCATCATTAGAGTATAGCAGAATGCAGCAAAGTCCATGCAGAGCCAAAATACAAGCATATAGCCAAGCAAGTATTATTCGAGTGTGCAGAGAAAAAAATTTAAAAAAATCACAATGAAGCAATTTTAAAACTGGATTTTTTTTTCAATCACATGAAAGTATTTCTTACTCCACTGAGCTTAAATTAACTGCCTCATTTTTTTTCTTTGCCTAATATTTCTGTATATCAACCTGATGTTACCACCATTATGGATGAAAAGCAGCCACAAAATATAACTTTGTATTTTTATTTGTAATTTATAAGCTATGAAACACTCGCACATAGGTTCAAGTTCAGGTAGCAAAGTTCAACTTTATCCATCCACGGAGGCCAAGATCAACACAAGGTTGTTCTTCCCTGGGGCCTTACACATAAATACAAAATAACACAATATTTACAATACAATATTTGGCATATCATTGATATAAATTTAAAAAGCAAGTGGTCCAATAATAGAGCCCTGAGGCTGAAACATAGAGTAAACCACTTCATGGTTCTACCTCTTTTAGTTGTTATTGTGCTGTGAAATGCAATTATTTTACAGGGATTTTAAATTTCCCAACAAATAATGTTGTAATTTTCCCAACAGATAATGTTGGATACTCACTTAAATTGTTGTGCCTTGAGAAATTCAATTGGTTTGAATTGTTATAATGTTATTTAGTTCACAGTTATAGTATACAGTATATAGGGCCCAGTTACTTTCAATTTCATTTCTTGTAACCTGTTGACTACTGAAATTGAATCTGAGTAACTGTTTGCTTGAGCTATTTTAATCTGCAGTAAATGTGTACTTGGCAGATGACATAGATAAGCAACACAATTCCATTGGTTAATTCATTTCTTTGCACATAGGCTCAAGGTAATAAAAAAAAACCCAAACATAAAAGATATTTTTTTACAGTTTATCAAAACCTCACCAAATTTCATCAAACAGGACAGGGGCAGATTAAAAAAAAGAAAAAGAGAACAAAAAAGAGAACGAAATAGAAAGAGACAAAAAAGAAAGGATAAATAGGAGAGCACACTCCAAATAAGCTAATTTTGATTTAAAATCCATGCACCAGTTCCTATGGTGAAGTATTTTAACAAAAAGTTAAAACACCTCTACCCACACCCTTCTCCCTGCTTAGTGCTTTGCACGTCACATGGCCCCTACCCAGGTTTTCCGCTCTATCCGTCCCTGCAGAAGAGTGAGCAGCTTCACAAATAGTTATTTGTGGTCGTTTGCAAAGCTGCTTAATTTGGTGTGTGGAAGCTTGTGAAAATAAATGGTTCTAAATATTATAAATTTTATATTATAATTCTGACAGCTTAGATCAATTTACCACAATCTTTTTTATAAGATAATATTTCATGAAGTACAGTATACCTTGTTTAATTTTTTAATGTTGACATTCTTCTCCTTAACAAGTACCTTGCATAAATCTGCAGAACCATTTTCTGCAGCCGTATGTAATAGAGTATTTCCTTTCTGAAATCCAACGAAAAAAAATTTTAAATACATTCATTTATTCATAATTTGTTATCTTTTCATTTTTATTTATTTTGTTTATTTCATATATTTTTTTTAGTTCATTCATTCATCAAATACTTGAATTTTATCGGTTTCTCCTCAATTTTCTCTGCCAATAATTTTTGATTTGATTTTATTTGGAAAGATCTGAGCACATTCACAAAAAACATATATGTATACAATAATTTAACATACCAGATCTAAGATCAGGATAATCCAAGAAGCCAAAACTATAATTTGTATGAAAATTATTTTTGGCTACCAATCCAAGAGTTTAAAGACTAACATCAAAAGACCATATGTGTAGGACCTCTAAATATATCAAGCACATTAGTTTAACTGCCAGTACTATAAGCAATAATTTGACATTTTGACTTCTAACTCTACAAGTGTGTACAATCAGTATTATTACATTGTGTAAAAATACAGTACAAGCATGTTTATTGGCCCAATTCATAATAATAATAATATTGATTTATAGCACATTTTCAGGGTTCTGTTCAAAGTACTTTACATAAAAACTGATAAAATACAATATAAAACAGGCAGCATTATACAATCAAATTACAAAAATATTATATAGAAAAACTACAAAAATATACTTAATTAATATATAATATAATTAATTACATTGTTAAAATAATTAAAATTGGAAAATTCAGTCAAAAATAAATATCATTAATTACCTAACAAACTATAACATACAATTCTAAATTATTACAATACAATACAGATCAATTAAAAGTTTTAAATTCAATATCTACAATACTGAAAGACAATCGATTAAAAGGAAAGATAAGTAAATATAATTACAATATTAAAAACATTGAATTTAATTACAAATTTATCTTTCATAGCAACAAACATCTCTCCTTACCGTATTTTCAGTTTGAAAGTCCACACCATCTTTTTTTAGCAACGTTCGCGACGAATATGTTTTTTGCATCTCTATAGACAGTTGGAGAGCAGTACTTTCATTCTGAAATCATACATTCAGGCATAAATATCTTTAGCTACACTACACCAATGACAAAACTACCTATATTAATCTACCTGCATTACATTACAATATCAACTTTTAGTCTACTGATTAACATTTGTAATCAGAATAATGCACTATTTATATACCTAGGGTTCTCACCATTTAATATTTTTAGGCTGGCGACCACCACTCCAAAATGCAGGTGAGAACCCTGTATATTTGTATAGTTGTTTATTTTGTGGTGTTAAATGTACAACAGGAAATATTACATATGGTTAAAAAAATAAAAACATGCTGAACTCCAAATCAGAACCCAGAATGTTCCCACACCTGGACGCGAAACTCCAGAGCTCTGGTCAGGTGTAATGGAAAAAAGTATGACTCAGTCTGGTTAGGCAGAACCATATAAAACCCACTGGTTACAGAACTGTAAATATCACTATCAAGCGGTGACTAGCTGATATGCTTACCTTGTCTTTACTATTTGGATTAGCTCCGTTATCAATCAAGAACTCAATAGTCTTAGTTCTATTGTACATAGCAGCAACATGTAATGGTGTCTGACCATACTGTGAAGTAAACAGTTCAAAATTCTAGTCAAAAACTTAATTTACTCAAACAAATTTGCACACACTGTGTCGTAAGATGGATACATCTTCGACCTCTGTGAGCACTTAAGGACACAGCGCCATCTGCTGATTTTCAGTGGAATGAATCATCATTCAAAACAATCTGTTGTGTGCCCATCATCGCAGTGTGCTCGGTTTTAGAGCGTTTCATAGTGAAATGCTAGTGGCAGTTTAAGGCCTTGTCCAAACTTTCAAATCCTTTTTTTAACAAAACACTGTTGTATGCCCATATATATTCATGATGTGCCTTTATATCACTGGTTCTTAATTTGTTTGAAGGGCCAAATTATTTTTAGAGCTGATCTGACGGGCCAAAGATAACTTCAGCCAAGGTGAAAGCAATTGTTATACATATGGTTAAAACTCTTTCAGCTAAGATAGGTCTATTTGAAAGTTCTTTTTTTTTTAGCAATTTGAAATTATAGGGGCCTAATTTTAAATTTTACTACACCTACACTAGCGGTCATGGCCCAAAATTGGGTAGCAGGAAATTTCTGCATGGACTGTCATCAGTTTAATAGTCGTAAGTCAAAATACATAAAATATGCATGTGGGACTAGAGAAATGTATTTTTATGAGCACTATCTGTTGATACACCAAATTTTTAATACCCCTGTGAAGTAAGGAATGCTATAAACAAATCACAGCGAACACAAATATAGAGATGGAACATAGTGGCACATAACTCAGGGTAATGCTAATACTGTATGACTTGAAAAGAAGGCTATTCATGAAACACAATATCAGAACAAAACACAGAGACTGAATTTGCTGGCATATAGAGTCCTGTATTATTTGTAGGACAATCAAACTGTATTTTTATGAGCACTGTTCTCTGGTTCACTAGCTATAATAGTGTACTGTATCATGTGAAATAAATAGGCTTATTGATTACTAAGTCCTTAGTATTACCTCTTTTTGATTATTGTTGTTGTGTCTGGTCAAATTGTAATGTTCAATATTCTAATTGTTTACAAGTTCAAATGAACAGATTGTAGAATTGTTTTGTCTGTTGATATTTATACTTCCGTTGATGTTATGTTAAGTTCACTTGCATGGAAACAACTACATGTAAGGTGGAATGAACAGATAGCCTTAATGACTTTTAAGTGTTTAAAAGGGTATGCGCCATCTTATTTATCATCTAAATTTAAATTTAATATCGAATCTCATTCAAAATGTACACATAGTCAATCTCATAATAAACTTTTTGTACCACAATTGAATAACTGTCAAGGCAAGAGAACTTTTTTGTATCGCTCAACAAAGTTGTGGAATGAACTTCCACACGAAACAACAACAAATTTCATGAACATGTCTATTATATTTTTCAAAAACTCTTTTATTTCTTAATTACTTTTATTATGATATCTATTTATGTATGTTTTTTAATTACTTTTCTTTTAACTTTTATATTTTATGAAAATGTACCACTTTGAAAAACAGTACACAAGTACTGAAAGTGCATGCAGTAGAAAGACAGAATAAATAAATAAATAAATAAATAAATAAAACCCAATAGACGTATTGCAAAATAACCTAAATTTAGTTGTGTTTACCTATTTGATTTAACAATGGGCTTCTACCATTTTTGTATTTTCTTTATTAAAAATATATCCATCAAACTTTTATTATGTTTTGAATATTATTTTTTCATATTTTGTTTTTCCTCACAGGCCAAATTAAATTGCCTTGTGGGCCAGATTTTGGCCCACGGGCTGCCTATTAAGAACCAGGACTATATATGGTCATGTGATGCCATTCATGACCAAATTTAGGCATGTCACATGTTTTGTCAAATAAAATAAGAAAATTTGGACAGGGCTTTAAAATCAGCAAACAAATATATTTTTTGCCTCCAGCTTACTACTGCGTTATCTCTTGAAATGTATATAAATTCACTTTCGTGGTTATAGTATTGTTGTAAGGTTCTGAAATCATGTGTTGCGTTAGCTAGTTAGTTAGTTAGTACTGCTACAAGACATTTTAATATACTGAACCATATATTCAAAATTGCTTTAGTTGCTCAGAGTAAAATATTTTACACATCACACACTCAATGTAACTGTCAACAGTTGGATCTTAACCAATAACAAGATCACAACCTCAAAATACTTTCATTTTGCACACTACTTTAGGCTCACAGAATATTTGGCCATAGACATGATGGATAACATATTAAGAATTTTTACATACGATTTAATATTTAAACATGTTAACATTTTGTTATTTTTTGCTGCGGAAATGGGGCTCAAAATTTTTTGATAAATTTTCAGATGAGAATCAGATAATTTATCGGAAAAAGCTCCAAATGTGAAATTAAATAAACTTTGACTGATGTCAATCACAATCATGCAATGAATTCTTTTGGGTAGTTAGTTTCTAAGATGTTTTGATGTTAAACACATTGCATTGTTGTCCATAATTTTGCAAGATGGGAAAAATTACTTCGAGAGAAATTTAGGACCATCTATCAGAGAAATTATTGGGGAAAGTGCTAAGGAAAAACAGCTTAATTTAATTAAACAAACCACATTTTTTGATTCAAGCATCTCATTTCTTCCATCTCTTTTCAAAATCTCTGCGATGATGTCAACTTGATCATTGGATGCTGCTTCATGGATTGGAAAATTTAAGTCCGGTTTCTGGAGGAATAATAATACTAATAATGATGATAGTAAAAATTATAATGTTAATCTTAATAATACTGTAATAATAACAACAGCAGATTGTTAGAAAATTGTTAGAAAATCAGAATACAGTAAAAAGATGTTAAAACAATTTACAAAACGGAGAAAGATTTTATTAAAATTTAAAATAAAATGATTAATTATTTATTTGGTCCAAACACAAAGTGAACTGAATCACTATAGCAATGCTGGTGGGCCTAATAAAAAAATCCCAAAAAACAATGAATCAACATGAAGATAAACATTTCAAATTGATACATTTAGGGAAAGACATTTTGGTATTGCTTCTTTTTATGGGTACTACAGAGAGACTATTATCATCGTTCATATTACCAAGATGGCAGTTTCTATCCCTCCGCCATTAGGGCGGGCATTGAATAAATCACTAGTTTTAAATTTACTCTCTGTCTAGCCCAAGGCGAGCATTTTATTTATACCTTATTTAGCAAACCTGCTGCCCACCAATAATGATCTCGAATAAAAATAACATATTAATTTTTGGCTAATTACTGCAACAACCACCATGAAAAAGGAAATTTCAGAAAAATTTCTTATTTTTATTATGCCCGCCGCTGCCTTAAAATCTCCAAAAATAAGCTGTATATTTCTTCCTACATAAATTTAAAGCATTTTGACCATCCCACTATATATTGTACATTGTTTACATTCACCAATAAAATTTCATTTCTATTTTTTCCCTCTGTCTACAAGGTATAAAAAAAAAGTCTCACCTAAGAACCAAAAAAAAAAAAAAATCTTTGTATAGGTACCTTGTTCAATGACAAAGTTTATTGAGTATTTTTATCAATTTCATCATCATTAACATAAAAAATAACCATAACTATAAGCACCATCACTATTAATATCATTATCCTTATTGTCATGAACTATCTTCTTTACCATTACTTAAAGCAGCAGCAACATATAATCATTATAACTAAACATAATAAAAAAAATAGCACCAATTTATGAACATAATAATTAGTATAAAATCTTACATTTGTTAATTTTAAGGGATTTAATTTTTTCTCATCACAAAGCTTTTTGAAATCGTCTAATTTTCCATTCTTTGCTGCTTCAAACAATTCTTCATCAGGTGATGATGATGATGGCACATCAATATCATAACGACCTCTATGACAGAATGGAGAACAGAGTGCTTAAGCATATAAATTCTTGCTTGTTAATTGGTTCTTCTACAGCATTTTTCATTGCTAACTACCATCCACTATAATTAATTTGTCCCAAGTAAAGCCCACCCCAACCAAAACCCACAAGATACGAGTCATAAGCAGCAATTGCATTGGACTTTAAAAGGGAAGATGATAACTGAGACTTGAGACTGTGGGTATCATTCCAATGTGTAAATCTTACTGCTGCCTGCTGGTTAGTTTTACTGCAAGAAATGGTAACTAATCAAGATGTGAATATCAACAATTAAGGGTGATAATCCATGATGTCACATCACAGTGGCATATCTAGGGCAGAGGTTTAGCCAGAAAAACGATATAGGCCGTCCAAAATGGAAGCCAGTGGCCACGCCCATCTTTGGGAATCCCCACCGAATATTGATACAAAAACAACGTACATTCAATCAATAAATGTTAAACGTAATGGGGTCGATATAAGGCTTAGTAATTTCAGTCAATTTTATGTATTAAAGTACCACTTTCCAACATCTTAAAGTCTCAAATTCTTAAAATGTTCGCACCTGATTTTCGCATGCCCGCCCAAAATTACTTGCACCACCCCACCCAAAAATCACAGTCAAGTAGTTAAAAATCACCTAAAATCACTATATTTAGCGCCCCTCAATTGATCATCAAGCCCCCCCCCCCACCTCACTTTCACGCCCCCAATTCAAGACTTCACTGGGTGGTCCTCAGAGCTCCCCAAACCTCGATCTAGCACCCTGACCCAAAAAAAGCTTTGTTGATACAGCACACCATGTTTCTCTGACATTAACTGTATGACATCATATCATTATATTCAAATTGTTGTACCATTCATTAATAACATTTTTAAAATATCAAATATTCCATGAATTATTAAAAAAGTTATTAATAGTACACACCTTAATTGTGTGTTTACATCTCCATGTTAACATTTGGCAACCGAATAAATAACATAGAGTCTATAACATTTTTGAAGGCTTTAGTACAGTGCATATTCATGGGAACTTGTTCATACAGGATGTATCTGACTGGTTGTAACAACAGAATTATTAATTTTGGGAGAAATCAGTTGTTTAATATCTAGAGGTGCGATAATCATGGTATAGACTCTCCATCTGTGAAAATCTCTCCGTGGGCCCCTGTTGCAAATTCCTAGATTTGCCAATGATACCATATTTATTTCGCCGTTAAAACATTTGAATACAATGGCAAACATAATTAAAAAATAAGCACATCTAAAATCCCACGATGGACTTGCGACTGGGACCCAAACACGGCCCCTAGTCGGAGAGAGCCACAGGGCCCTCGGGCTCCAGCGTTATGCAACTGGATATGGTTTTGTAATTGTCTTACCTTAGCCTCAACCATGGTGGGCTAAGGTTGATGGTAATTTTCATAAATAGTATATCCAAGTCCTGTTTTCGGATATTAATAAACTCTCAAAAGCATGGTGGCACTCAGGTGGATATTGTAGATTTTGTAATTGTATATATTCAAGTACTATTTTCGGGCGGCACCTATGCTTTTTTTGGGTTTTTTTTTTACTCAATTTATCAAAAATGAAAAGAATTAAAAGTAATTTAAGTTCAATTTCCGGGCATCTAGAGGTATAAAATACTGAAAATTTCTGCGTGCCACTACCAACCAATTGATGGAGCTGACGTGGTGTGGACTCTCACTTTCATGAGCACTCCCTTTCCTTAAATCCTGGATATGCCACTGCATCATCCAGTAATGCATGAATGATGGGGAAGTTTAACCAAGACACGTCTGTTCAGCTTGGTAACATGGTCAGTTTTAGTGGGCATGATTCACTCGGTTAAAGTAACTGCTCGTCTCAGTAAGTTTTCCTGAGAGGTATGTAAGTGTCCTGGGCTGTTCGCACTGAACTAATTTTTGTAAAACTAACCAGCGTCTGTTTTTTTTTTATCATCATGAGGGGATTTTGATCCCGCAGGATTAAATTTTTTGCTTCAAACAGGTCATTTCATTCATAGAAAAAGCCTATTGATGGAGAAAGTGTACGTTTTTAGCAAGGTTTGTCTAGGTCGAAACAAACTCTGGCTACATAAAATTGATTTGAAGATTGAAAATGTTATTCTTGTTAATGAACAGCTAAAGATTACTATCCATGTCCATTTTTATTAATCTAATCTACGTTAATTTATTTTCACTAATTAAAATTGTTTAGATATTTATTTTGTTTGTTTATTGCAATTTTTCCACACATAAATAATACATTGACAAAATGAATTTCATATATAAAATGAACAGAACAGTATTTAAGACTAAAAATTAAGGATGACAATTCATATTTCATCAATAATTATAATTAAATGTACAACTGAAAATTTGAAAAATATATTCTATGAAATATGTAATAGTTAAAGTTTATAATATTCGACAATATTTAAATATCAAAAAGAGTCTAGTTAAAATATGTAAATATGTATCAAAATTATATATTTATATAAATAGTATGCGTAAATATGTACGGCAGAAGCATAAGAAGAAAAAAGAATAGGAGAGAAATTAGGATCGGCTGAAATATTTACTGAAAATAAACAACAATAATAATTTTGTCATTATTTTCACAAAAATGTGATGTAATAACATTTTCACAAAAATGTGATGTAATAACATTTTCACAAAAATGTGATGTAATAACATCACATTTTTGTGAAAATCTGTTGGCACTAACGTCAGATGTCAAGGTGCCAGCAGCTAACACGTTTCATATATTCGACAGCGTCTTGGTTAGTTTTACCGAAAAACATCAAATGCAATTGCAGCTATAGACCAAAGTAAATCAATGGTAAAATTGAATTTTTAAAAAAAGATTAAAATTATATGAATACTAAAAATGTTGAATCAATATATAAAGAAAACATGCAGAATAATTACTATTTAGCAAAATCAAGTAAAAAATGTGCAAATTAAACTCACGGATTTTCACTCATCTTGATCTATCCAAACACCACATCTATAAAGTACAAATAAAAAACATAAAATATTACATCATTGATTTTAAAAATCAGTCAAATATTTAGGCCACATTCAGCTGAATGGAACATGTAGGATATCAGAAAGAGTAGAAATAATATGGTCTAGGGTACTTTTCTACTTCTACGACTGTACATAGGCATAGAATTAATACCTCCATGGTTTAGGCCAGTCCAAATTTTGATGGTTCCTAGCTAGCCTAGACCATGGAGGAAATACTTTAATGCCTAGACCCTATGCATATCAATCATGTAAGCCAGAAAAAGCTGTAGTAATAGAATGAATGTGGTTGGAACTTTTGTTACTAAACACAAATTTTAATTTCTCCGTTCAAAATTTTTATTATTTTCTATTATTAAATCGTCGAAATTTATAACAATAGAAAAATAAGTACTGAATACACGAACTTACGTCATCCAGCACCTGTACACAACCACTACTCACTGATGCGTTGATAATCTGTCTGGCAAGTAAGCCTGGAGGACCCAGTAGTACGAATAGAGAGGTCCGCCAAAGGTGAAAATGACATTAACAAGAATGTCCCTAACTCTAGGCCTAACTTCTCAGACAGGCTCCTTCTAGGTATGCCTGTTCGCCTAGGCCTTAGTTTAAAAAAAAACACTACACTAGGCCTTAGTTAAAAAAAAAACACTACACGTCTGGTACACGTTGAGTTGGTATAAACATAAAGCCTACGTGCAATTAAGCATTGTTCACACCATGTCTAAGAGTATACTCTCGACCATGTCCATGTTTACACATTCTAATTATGTATCGCGTAGAAGACTGGGAATTTCCCAGCTTTGCCAGAAGAGGGCGATATGAAACAAAAAAGATCATAATAGTAGTACTGTACCATAATATATATTTTGTTAATCCTTCCCTCCTTAGCTATGGTTATTTTTGTGGTATGTGATAACAACTCCCTGGTGATATATATTAACACTAAAGTAAATCTGCTTGTGCATAATTTGCGTCTTGATGTCCAGCAACAAATCTAGGTCTATGCCTAGATGTGGTTTCTTTCTCGTACCGTACTAGGCCTAGGAGTAGGTAGATCCTCTATGGTTGCCGAAATCGTCAATAAAAAAATTCATGAAAATTTTGTTGGCGCTTCATTTTGACTATATAATGATATAGTGATGGTGATGTGATGATGATGAATTTTACTCTTATAAATGTGTCATTTCCGGCCGTCTACAGGTACTATTTCTTCATTTTTTTTCACGCACCCCCTACCGCCAAATCCTGCATCCGCCCCAGTATCACTTTATAACAATAATAATTTATTGAACTACACCTTTTCAATCAGTGGCACACTTCTCAACCGAAGGTGCGTCCAAAACAATATGTACAGTAAAGTTCACAAAAAAGACTTATGCTAAGAAAAAGACAATTCAAATTTTCAAAAGACATTAAGTAAAAGTAAAAAAGAAACTGTTCAGCCATATAAAATTAAAAGCAATCTTAAGCTAAAAAAAACTTAAGGCAAAATAAAGTGATGCAAACAATCACATGAACAATTATACAAACACCATACTTGTATGAAATACACATACAGTAGGCCTACATATGTACATATATATCCATACACAACTGTATACCCATATTTACTGTATACCGTACTCACAATTATAAACATAAAGACATACAGTACATACTTTATACAACACTGCATCACACAAGAAGCACACATATGAGGCCAGATAACACAGATGCACAAAAAAGTAAATCAAAAGTCATAAAGTAATACAGGACTAAAATCAAAAACATTCGTTTTCTTTTTTGAGAGTCATTTCTCTTTTTCCATGCCCTTGTAGCATACCTTTTACAAAACCTGTCAAATTTTTCTTCAATTTCTTTTGGAAGATTTAGTGAAAAAGAGCCAAGAACATACATTAACTTCTGATCAGTTGCTGAATTTATAAATTGGTTCCAAATAGGCCTATTAAATTTACTGTTTCAGGTTCAAGCTTTGCTAGTTCTTCCAATCTAATGTTATGGAGGGAAGGACATGAAAAAAGAAAATGTCTAATATCTTCAATTGAATAAGAGCTACAAATAGATCAAATGCCATCATTATTATCGGACCACCTTGAGGTTCGTCTTTGTAACGGTAAAGTATTGGAGCGTAATCTAAATTTTATGCAAGCATCCTCAAAATCTGTAGTTTCAAGTAAATATTTTTCTAGGCAAGGGCTTTCCTTAATAATTGAGTAATCTGAAAGGGAAGATTTTGATCAAGATTACTTCTCCAATCAGTACAAGCTTGTTTTTTAAGTTTATTCAAAATGAAGTTGTCCAATTTCCGATGGGATAATCAATGGTATCATATATTAATTTAAATAAATTTACTGATTTACATTTTGAGAAAACATTGGAAACACATTTAAGAAATTTAAAACGGAAATTATCAAAGTTACTATCCATTTGTAATAAAGCATTAAGTAAAAGTTTTGGCCACCGATGTGATTCCATATGTAAAATGCAATGAAAATATTTTAATATCGTGCATAACACTAATTGGCTGAGCCAGCCAAGTTCACCACGTGGGGTATCTCTAGTTGCTCTAAGAATAGAGCGTGCCATCTGCAATTGTTCAAGTTTGGCGAACGGTGCGAAGAGGGTCTGGATCCGCGCCTGCCTTTAACTGCCCGGAAATTGCACTCTCATATCTTACAACAATACAACACAACAATTATTTTTCTTAATACAATTTAGGAGGGTGCGATCGCACCGTCTGCAGTCCGTCTGCATCCGCCCCAGAAATTTGTGCAGCAATTAAGTTTGTTTATGTTTAATCCTGTCTCTGTCAGTTGTTTGTCTTGTTTTTGTTGTACATGTTTTTAAAATTGGACGAAATAAATGAAATGGAACCACCGTTCGTTAGTTCCTTCTTTCGTCAAAGTTCTTTCAGTCGTTCGTCTGTCCGCTCATTCGTTCATTCGTTCGTTCATGTTATTCATTTATTCCAATCCAATACAATTCAAAAATCTCAACGCACCAATTGGAGGAAGTGCTCTGAATAAAATGAGAAATCCGTATACGTAGATCAGAAAAGTACGGAAGCTTAAATTGACCTTCCAGATGTCTAGATAATTATCTCGTCATGTCTACATCCTGTAGGAAAGAATATCAAATGTTGCGATTCTGGATCTCCTCATGTCTATATTTTTCAGAAGAGATGATCGCATGAGGAGATCCTTGATATCACCATGTCAACATCCCTTAAAAGAGATGATCAGATGACGAGATCCTGGATCTCGTCATTTCTACATCCCTCAGAAATGATCACATGAGGAGATCCTGATATCACCATGTCTACATCCTTTACAAGAGATGATTAGATGACGAGATCTTAGACTCATGTCTACATCCTTTAGAAGAGATGATTAGATTACGAGGTCCTTCATTTCGTCATGCCTACATCCTTTAGAAGAGATGATCAGATGACGAGATCTTGAATCTCGTCATGTCTACATCCTTTAGAAGAGATGATTAGATGACGAGATCCTGGATCTCGTCATGTCTGCATCCTTTAAGAGGTGATTAGATTACGAGATCCTGGATCTTGTCATGTGTACATACTTTAGAAGAGATGATCAGTTGACGAGATCCTGGATCTCGTCATGTCTACATCCTGTAGAATAGATGATCAGATGACAAGATCCAGGATCTCGTCATCTGATTATCTATTCTACATGATGTAGACATGTTGAAATCATGGATCTAGTCATGTGTAGGCCTACATCCTTTAGAAGAGATGATCAGATGAGAAGATCCTGGATCTCGTCATGTATACATCCTTTAGAAGAGATAATCGGATGACAAGATCCAGGATCTCGTCATGTGTACATCCTTTAGAAAAGATGATTAGATGACGGGATCCTGGATCTCGTCATGTGTATATCCTTTAGAAGAGATGATTAGATGACGAGATCTTGGATCTCGTTATGTGTACATCCTTTAGATGAGATGATTAGATGACGAGATCACGGATCTCGTCATGTGTACATCCTTTAGAAGAGATGATTAGATTACGAGATCCTGGATCTCGTCATGTATACATCCTTTAGAAGAGATGATCGGATGACAAGATCCAGGATCTCGTCATGTGTAAATCCTTTAGAAAAGATGATTAGATGACGGGATCCTGGATCTCGTCATGTGTGCATCCTTTAGAAGAGATGATTAGATGACGGGATCCTAGATCTCGTCATGTGTACATCCTTTAGATGAGATGATTAGATGACGAGGTCATGGATCTCGTCATGTGTACATCTATTAGATGAGATGATTAGATGACGAGATCATGGATCTCGTCATGTGTACATCCTTTAGAAAAGATGATTAGATGACGAGATCAGATCCCGAATCTCGTTATGTGTACATCATTTAGAAAAAAAATGATCAGATGACAAGATCCTGGATCTCGTCATCTGAACATCTCGAAGGTCACTATAAGCTTCCGTTAAAGAGAGAGCAATGCCTAGAAGAAAACCAAAAACAGAAGAAAATGACAGAAATCATAATAATAATTTATTGAACTTACACTTTTGTTACAGTGGCACTCGTCAATTGACGGTGCGTTCAAGACCAACAAATTTACAAAATAAGTTACATTAAAAAAAATATAAAAGCACAAGCACAAAATTTGAAAGCCACTTCTTATCATAACTTAACAATTAAACTTAAATTAAACTACTTAAAGTAAATAAATACAAAGTAGATACAGAAATACAGACTTATTTTCCTGTACAGTAC